CCAGTTTTAGAGGCAGGAGGAAACCGGAGTACCCGGAGAAAACCTGCAAGAGCGAGTATGGACTGGAAACCAAATGCACTTAAGGCCTGGGCCAAGCTTTGCGGACGTTATACAGGTGTTTATAGCTCGCAGTACCGCCAGTAGCCAATCAGCGTACCCCGGGCGGTCCTGCTAGTTCTCCGGCTCCCGCAAGCTTCGGGGTACGCCTCGCGCGCCCTCTACGTTAGCTCGCGAATACTCAAACGTGCCTCTGTCACGTTACATTAGTTAAAAAGTGGTCATAACAAAGATAACAAAAACATCGGTGACATGCCGAAAATACTTCTACATTATAGAAGAAATTGTCGCAACTTGCTGGCTGCCTTGTCTTCTCCTGGACCTGCAGTGTACTAGGGGCACCATCTGAAGAAAAAAGAACATAAACGAATTCAGAATTTCTTTAGTTTGATATATGGGGATGCAAAGACTTCCTAAATTGTAATAATTACCCCCCAAAATGGAACCAGATGCCACCATTAACCTTCCCCAAGCATTTCTACTGCACGTTGATGGTTTTATGGTGCGGCAAGCTCTATTGGCCATTTCAACCCTGCTACGTGCCCTGCTTAAACTATTACAGGTCGGAAAACTGTTAGGTATTCCGCGATAATTGTTTCCCATGCCTTTTGAATCAGGAAAAAAATTGCTGATGTCTCAATTACCTGGGTCTGAACTTGACTCATCATTGTCTTTGATGTCAAGAACCCATCCTGTCCAAACTTCATCGCCCGATTTCATGGAAACCTTCGTGCCTTTTGCCATAGTCCGGTGCAAAGCAGGTCTTTTACTGCAACAACATCCTTGGAACCATTTTGATCCCACTGAACTAATGTGTCATCTCCTGGATCTGGGCTGGTTTTGATTAAATAGTAAGCGAATTAAAGATTAACCCAGTTTTTTCACTTTTTGAACTCGAAATACAACTCGAACTGTAAAATCCACTTTTTAGAGTGTATGCTGCTGAAAAGTATGTTAGTCTTCAATTTACATGTAAGACCTAAATAGCATCATAGCCTCTATAAAAAAATGATGCAAAACGAATATTTTGTGAAGGTTTGTTTCACACATGTTACATGTACATGTAAATTAAGGTACTAGTTAGGCCACTGGCGGGAGAGGGGTGTTGTGTAATTTAAGACCCCATTCCATAATACATCAGAAAACTAACTTCCAAAATTGTTGACTCTTATAGAAAATGAACATTACTTATTGTATTTCCCTAGAGAACAAAAACCTTGCTCTCTTTTCACAAGATTACAATCTTGCAGATATTAACACTACAGTGGTGAGTCAAAAAATTAGCATTGGCCTAATTTTCCAATCTACTTCAGATTCCAAATGATTGGGAAGTGATTTTCTAGAATGGAACAGGTTCCTAAAAACTACACAATACCCATACCATTCAATAAAATTAGCATGATGGCTACATGATATAAATGTACTTGTACTACGTAGGGTTATTTGTAGGCCGAGCATAGGCTTTACGGTAAAACACACAGGCCATGGACACTAGGATCGGTTGGGGTAGCCCTGGCTTCCATGGATGCATCTACTTCCCAAACGGTTAGGTACTACTCCGTAAACCATAAAAAGTCCATGTTTTTGATGGTTCCGTACGCTATGGCATTTTAAAAAAGTGCTCTGCCAGTTTCAGGTAGTTGTACTTTAAAGACCCTTATAATGAACTTCTACCTATATCTAACATCCGGGTTCGTTAACGTTTAGTGCGTTACCATGCGGCGATATCAATATTCGATTTTGCCTTTTTCTTTTATGGGAAATCAGCGGAGAGTGCAACCGTGTAATTGCTCTCATAGATTCCTGTGATGCTGACTGTAATCAAAATTTTACAGTGTGGCAAGCAAGTGTGGCAAGCCTAACGCTCGCCAAAATGTTGACAGTGCGAAGAGAATCTAGCTGCGACAGTCGACGTTTGGCGGAACAAATGTCCATGGCGTATTATCGGCGGCCCACCAATCATATGACGTTGATAATGTTATCAGGTGATAATGTGAAATTTTAGATATCGACTGCATTCTTACACTGATGCGTATTTTAGGATTTTGACCAGCTTGAGCACGTGCAAGAAGAGATCAAGGACATCTTCTCCACATTCCGTGCACCTGCGCCCAAAATCACCAAGCTCGAAAAACTCATGCCGGTTCTGACCCTCAAGATTCCAGAGCACATCCTTACCAGGGTAGGTTACTGCCCTTGTGGTATCATATCAGGCGAGAAGCAGCTGCAGTGAGCTGTCCGTTTTGTGTAAGCAAACAAAATATAGGTACATGCTATATAAAACAAGTGATAAGTTTTAACGCCTTCCTGGGAACACTTCATGAACGCAGTGCTGTGTCAGTATTAGCTAAAGCTGAACACGTTTAGAGCTTTTTTAACAAAGACATGTTGTTATTAAATACAGACACAAAGACACATTTTGGGTATTAATAACATGACAGGCAAACAGCTTTCTAGGATAGTAACACTTTTTGAACACTGAAATACTATTATTTTCAAAAAGGTATTAATTTTATACTGTTACACGTTTACGCTGAGACGCGTTCATAATGGGCGTTGGACTTTACAGTGTTTATACTGAAATTCTCTTGTGTCTTTTTACGGTTTTTTGGTTTGGTTTTGTTTTTGGTTGTGGTGGCAGTTACTAGTGTTCTCTTTGAAATGCT